CTAAAATTTGTTATAGCAGAACCAATGAACTTGTCTAGTATGTGTAAGGTAAACACAATAGGTAATATGAAATCAGATATTGATTAGCTGAACAGCTTTTATCATATGCTAAAGCATCATGTTTGGAAAGACATACGTTTTCACATGCTCGGCTAATAAGTATACTTGATAAAATTGTATGATATTTTTCTTTGCAACCGATCGACAGAGTGAAATTAAATAAGAAACTTCAGCTTATTCATCTTAGTTTAATGGGTGTTATTGAATAATGGATAGTACTTTGGTATGTGAAGCGATGGACACTGAGTTTGAGTCTCGGCTGGGAAAACAGTAACTGGTAGCCAAACATATTCACTTGACAAGTCAGGAACTGAACGAAGCGCACGTGTTTAATTCAACTACTAGTCACCAAATAGTCTACAAGATAATGAGGATTATTGAAGTGTCAATATAATTCTTAGCTTATCAACATGATCATACATCCCGATGCGCAGACTTTTTCGTTTCCGTTTGTTTAAAAGTGAAAGACATTAGAAATAAACAAATGTCCTCATTTATCACTTTTTATTTGTTACGAATTACTGGCTGTACACTTTGATACTGTTTTGTGAAAATCGTTACTTCAGTTATGTTACTGGACCTTCAAGTACTTTCAGAGTAGCAAACCTGAAATACTTTGGTATTTGGTATTTTAATTATACTAGATCAGTCTTATGTCACCTAAGATCTAAGAAGAGAATATAATAAAAAGTTAACTTTGAATTGTTGATCATAATCAGGTATCAGAAACGTCATAAAATAAACTTATCGAGAAACAATTTATAAGCCTGAAAAGAAAACACAATACACCTTAACGTCATTCGGAATACTTGATCTATATTTTGATTACTGTACGATAGGAATGAGTATGTCTTAGCGTTTCCTATTCACCAACAGAATCCTCGATACTAGTGAGATATTTGTCAGATACAGTTCAAATGTCGGGTGATCATGTACATCAAGTTAGCAATGTAAAGCATGGCTGAGTTACATGTGTATATAGAGTCCTGACGTTTCACCTAAACGAGAAACACTACTAAATGAACAGTATACATAACCTATGCACATCAATCTAATATCAGAATCCCGTGGACTATTATTAGAAGTCAGTTGTTGCACAAGTGCCCTTCTATCGTGATACAAGGTTTTTGATTACTTTGTATTGCCTGATTTGCCACTGATATATATATATATATATATATATATATATATATTGTTGCAACCATGATTATGATGTACAACTTGTGAAAATGATTCGTCGAAAGGAAAATTCTCTTCATTGAACCATCTTTCACTAGCTATCATTATCTAAGGGGACTATTTCAATTGTTGAAAGAGAGCAAGGATTCTGTGACAGTTTGGGAACTCAGTGGGTTTCTGCGGTATTCTGTCAAACTTGCTATAGCGAATACTAGAATCGACTTCTTGAAAATTTGTATACAAAACCGTGAATATACGAGACCGTTTTGGAAAATTTTGAATCGTAATCACATCTATCCAAATCATCATAATCTGGAACATCTCACTCTGAACCATACCGATGAGACAAATTCTAGATTTCCTGAAACTGAGCGCAATATCTCATTCAGAGGGCGTGCCTTATATGAGTTGTCAGACGATGAATGGGAAAATTTCAAAGACTATATAAATGCTGTTGTGAAAACGCTCAGAATATGTAAACCAAAAGCTTATGAGTAGTCTTAAACAACAGATTTCTTATACTGTTTTCCCGAAGTTCCTAAAAACATACATGTTTAACTGTTCTAATATAAATTTGTCACCAATCCAGTTGCGAGTACTTTTGTCAGGTCCTAAGTTTTGTGATATTTCCACTTCTCTAAATCAGCTTAACACTAAAGTCCAGTTTGAAAGTCTAATGAACCAGACAAACGATCTGATTCCTACCTCCAACTAGAGTTTTGAGCAATTTAAATCAGCTATTTTGAACTGTTGCCTTCATTGAGTGAATGCACAACCGAATTCTAGGAGACTATTGTCCAAAGAATATAAAGCCCAGATAAAGAAACTTTTGAAGAACAAGAAACCTTTGTTGGTTTGTCCTGACAAGGACTGAGGCACAGTTCTCATGAATCATAGATACTACGTTGATAAACTTTCATCTGCACTAGCAGAGGGAAGTAAATTCTTAAAATAAGAGTTTCAGAAAGACGTAAAAGAACAAACAGAATAAAACTGACAAAAATTTTAAGGAAGATGAAGGATGAATCGACCACCAGTGCTGAGCTGTTTGAAAGAATAAAATCATCCGGTTCAGTAATTCTCCAACTCTACGGTCTTCCTAATGTTCATAAGAAAGATATTCCTCTTTTTCCGGTTATCAACATGAACAATTCACTATATCACAGAATTTCTAAGTAGTTAACTGGAATACTTCAGCCAGTGAAGAATCAGATCACTAATTTCTCTATTGTCAGATTTTACTGCAGGTGTATTATCACCACTGTCGAGAACATAGGTTCACTCAATCACTTCATATCATTATATAACCTATCAAAATACTATATCGAACGCATGATGATCCAAGGCTGCTTACGCCAAAATGTCTAGCCGTGAGAATTCTTTTTATCAGCAGTTCCACTCTAGGAGATCTGTTGTGACAAGAAAACCTAATCATTAATTATAGCCTGATAGTTTACCGTCAGATATTTCTACTTTTTAGGAATTTGTAACAGTGAGTCGCTTTGGTGAATTCGCATAATGCAATAAGAAGATGGAGGTTATCTGAGAAATGTGGCGCATTTGCGCAATACATTTCACACAGTTTGATCACTCATTTACTTGTCAAGGCACTATATATGAAAGATGAAAATAGGGTCGAGTAAGATAAATAAATTAGGACAATATAAGATTTGCGAAATATAGTGATAATAAGGAGGAATGATAGGTTTCCAAATGTCTCTTGGCATTAAAATGAGATAAAGATTACCATGGTAGTTTTAAGGTAAGGATAAATTGTTTTTCAATGCAGGAAAGGGGTTGGAACTAAAATAAGTGTACGGTCTTGACACAGACATGTAAATTGGTATACACAGAGGGATGTGGCATGATCATCTTTATGGTGATGAGGTTTATTTTGAAGCATTGGTTTCTTTTTCGTTCACCTTGGCCGCATGGTATACGTTTTTAATCAATGAAATAAACCTTCGTCTTAAAATCATGCTGTTTGACTTCCTCTTGTAAGATAAAGTGATTTAAACATTCTTCTTTGGGACAAAATATTGATTATTTTGCACTACTGAAAGGTTTTTATAATGATTGATGAACTTCAGAGGATATGCTTTTTCTGTGAATGTCTCTGTTGACAATTTGAATTCTTTCAATGTATCTTTGTGCAAGTACTTTGGGTCCTTTTGAATAAGCATTTTTATAAGCCTCATATATACTGTATAGGACACAAAGTATGAAAGTTTAGGTACTGTCCAGTTCACATAGGCTTTCTATACACTGATCTTTCTATTCGCCCATCTTTCCTTCTAGTTAATAATACGTCAAGAAAAGGAAGCTGATCATTGTTTTTTGCTCCACATGGTAAACTAATATGGCTTTGTATGGTGTTAAGTCGATCTAGAAGTCTTTTCGTATCTTCGCGTCTGTTACACATAACTACGATATCATCAACGTATCTCCATTACAGAGGGACTTTGTTGATAATATCTTCAGCCAGAAGTTCTACATGTGACATGTAGATATCAGCTAACAATGGTCCTAAAGGACTGCCCATATTGACAATATCAACTTGTCGAAAATGTTTACCTTACCCCATCCCAGTTTCATCCTTCATTTAAAATGCCTTGATAGGTAAATGTGTGACCAGACTGTTCGAAATGTACTGCGTGACTACACTGCATTACTCAGATATCCTCCGTCGTCTTACCACATTATGCAAAAATACTTCTACACCTACTATCATGAATAAGTTCGAAAAAATTCAAAATAATATGTTATGGTGATTGGTAATGAAATAAAGTCAGTTGGCGGCAGGGCTCGGACGATTGACCTTTGCACCTTCAGGTCAATATTTAGCCAACTAAGCTGTCAGACACAGCTGCTGACTGAGTCTCAACTACTTTTAGTCATCCAGAATATAGCATAGGCGTTGTTTATGTGTTATGCCTTATGTATAACTATCTTTTCATAGAAATCCCACTGTCTACTAAGTCAGATTTTCTTGCTGTTTTTAAATCGAGTTGAATTGAAGGTTACTGATGAGAGAGAGTATCTTAGATTACCGATGTGACGAACGAACATGAAATAAAAAACTTTGTATTTTCGTCAATCAGGTTTGTCAGTTTGTCAAATCACGGTCCTCACAGACATTCTCAATGATAAATTAATAAAGTTGTAAGGCTAAATTTAGAAACAAAGTTTCATTAGTTGGTCATCAACGCAAGGAGTCATTTATTGACACGTCGTAAAGGTACACTGGATCATCTGATACATCAGTGTTTTTGAATCGTCTCAAAAAACCTCAAATTAACTTGAATTTTAGTCTAATTGACAAATTATCACGAGATCAAGTCTCTTGAATTTACTCTATTTGTGAATACTTTTACATGGATTACTGTACATTGATTATCATAATTAAAAATCACTAAACAATCAATTTGTCTTCAAAAACATTGCTATGAAAGAGGAGGCAACAACGTCATATTAAAAAAAACTAATGTATCAAGTCTCACTTAGAATTAAATTAAAATTATTTTGGTCAAGAGTTTCATATTTTTCACTTTTTAAGTGATATAAACAAAAATTGTCCGTCATATTTTCTAAGAACGTTCTACATGTATTTAGTATTTAAACAGTGTGTAGTAAGGCGAAATAAAAACTAAGTTAGATATTTCATGTGAATACGCTAAAATTTTGTTTAACTGAAGTTTGTGTTTGCAAAGGTGTTAAACAGATTTTTAAATTTTACTCTTTAAACTGTGTAGATATTAACAATGTCACAAATATTACGCAGTAATGTATCCTTAGTAAGAGTTCGACCAAGAAATCCATCTACCAGCAGTAGTATAGAAAATACAAATGATTATTATAATTTCAATGTCAATAAAACTGAATTGCAAAACACTTCCATGCCTGATAATAACGAAACAGAAGATAGAACTAAATGGTCATCACGTATAAATTTCTTACTGTCAAGTATTAGTTTTGCTGTGGATTTGTCAACCGTATTTCGTTTCCCATATTTATGTTACATACATGGTGGTGGAGCATTTCTTATAGCCTATCTAGTAATGTTGATTTTCTGTACAGTTCCATTATTTTATATGGAGTTAGTGGCTGGACAATATTTTCGTCAAGGCTGTGTCAGTATGTGGAAAATAGCATTGCTGTTTAAAGGTAAGATACTTGTGTTAATCCACTCTTATTAAAGTTTGACAGTGGGATGTATTTATTAATTTCTTTTAAGTGACCTTGGTATTTTGGATCAATTATTTATTGGTTTGATCAAAATGACTTTAAAATTGAACCATTTTTTTCAATTTCTATGACTAAATGTATGGTTGAAAACTACTTTTAAATGTCAAAGTAACCGACATAAAATGTGTCGGTTATGAATAGAATGAAAAGTGAGATTAGTTGAGAATTGGTCAACTTTATTTAAAAAGTATATCGAATAAATCTCTTCAACTACTACCGATTGTATTTTAGGTTTTATGAAAATGTAACTCAAGGATTTCAATGACTGACTTTCATGCCTAGTATCGTGTCAGATTTTCATTTATCATTATCACATAAGACGTGTGATTACAACTGTATGTGGTTGGTTGGATACAATGTATGTTCCGGACTTGTTGAATTGTCATCAAACTACTGGGTTACAATTTGTTACTAGTTTTTTTCAAACTCGTGATGTTGATCAATGAAAAAGCATGATTTAGTAATAGAAAACTGTTTTATATCAAGACTTTAATTGTTTCTCCAGGTAATAAGCTTGTGTATCACTTACTGAAATTTATGACTTGAGGTGTCGAAACATCACTGAATGTTTTATACATGGACTATTTAATCTGTCTACAAGATTGTACCGAAAGGATGTCTTTAAGTTAATAGGTCTAAAACGTTCAGATTAAAGCAACGAATTTCTAACAGAACCTTATTCATACAACTTTAGTGTAGGATAATTCACTTATTTCGTCTGGAAACCAAGTATACAGATAAGACAGGTCTTACATGTTAGGAAGAACTGAAGGTGTAAGTATTTCATAAGAGCTTATCAAGAATGAAGCGATTTTTCCCGAATTAAACTGTAAAAATAATAGGAGTTTGATAAGAATGTAAAATTTGCTGAAACCAATAGGCCATAATATGGAGAGAAGTAAAAGAAGTTTAAACTCTTAAATACAAAAGGAACACCTCAGATGGCGTCAGATTTTTAAAAAAATCCCTTATAATTCTTTCGAAAACGCTTAGGTGTTTTCTGTAGTATAAAATATTTTACTACCAAAGTTATTACAAAGTAAATTTAAAAATCTTAGACAAAATATTTTGCTTCCTCAAAATTGGAAGAAACAATTTTTTGAAGATATTTTTCAATCGTTAGCTGAGAAAATACTATTCAAGTATGTAGCTAGATTATAATGAGCTGACAGGCCGTAAAAATAAAGGGTTTCACATCCAATTGCTTAGGTCGAAGAGAAAAGTCAACGTTCTTTTCTTCTCCACATCTAAACCTCATTGTCCGAAGCAAAAGTTATGAAATTTAATTTTAATTGTATACAAACAATTGTTGTAAAATAAAAATCGGTATTTTTCAGTTGACAAAAAATGGCAATTCGGCAAGTGGTACTATTATGTATGTTGTGATTTGGCACAGTAAATCCTTCATTTTCTTCCTGACGCACACTAAACCCTTAGTATAGGGAATACACTACAGGAGAACTTAAACAGTTAGAAACCACACAGGTTGATCTCTAGATTTTGTCAGCCAGATGAGAGTGATCTAAAGATTGGACGGTAATTTTTCTCGTTTGAGATAGAGCTTATCAGCTAAATACCCGGACGAGTTCACCTCACAGACTGAAGTTGTTCAGATCATTAGGATCTGGCTAGCTTACTTGCATGAACCAGCATGCCTAAACTAAGATTAAATGGTATAGTCTACGTTAACGTTTCACACGGCTTGGCAGTTGTGGTTAACTTCCCAACAACCTTTCTACCGGAAATCACTCAGGTGTGGTGTGATCTCTGAATCGAAAGTGTCGACAGCCAGTAAAAGACACTACTTCCGAACTACTTGAAGGGTTTGAAACCACTTACACTGATCTGCATACAGCTGATCAGTTCGACGTCGAACAAACGAAATGACCGTTAGGTTTTTAGGTCATTCTGATCCGGAGAAGTACTATGTAGTGATTTCTAACTGCTCAACCCGCTCTATGGTGTGTTTTGTGAGTTCATGACACTTTTATGTCACTAAGCATAGAACCCGTGGAAGTAAGTTATTTCGTTTGATTTTATTTTTTCGACTCTAAAACGCTTTGCTATATAATCTTAAAACAGTAATGGTGTCTTATCTTGAATTCATCAGCAGACACATTAAAAAGGCGTGCTAGATAAAAGACTCATTGCGACTCATATTCGCTAGACAGGTGTCAGCTGAGGAACAGTTACTGATTAAGTATACTTTATAATGAAGAAACAGGTGATATCTGGGAAACTTAAGATTAGCATACTTCTTTTCTGACAGCAATGATATTTTCCTGTAGAGCTTTTTACACCAGGGGTAATTTGTGTTTGAGAATGCTGGTCTTTCATGATGAAAGCTGGAACTTCGAGACTCTCACCTTATACAATTTCACTTCTGAGTTTTTCAGTTATATAAGGCAACAAATTTGGCACCACAGCATAGTGTAATTTATTTAATGGACACAAGAAACAGGGATACAAGATAATTTGCCGAATGATGATTTAAGCTGAATATGTTACTCATGATCACTTCAAGGTATTCACGCAACCTCTGACACTGGGTTTTGATAGTTTAATCACACTTAATTATTTGTCTACAGAAGCATTAGAAATGTTTACATTTCCGGAGTGTATTTCACGTTATTCCCACTGCCTGCACTATATGTTGATTCTATGAGTCAGGATTTTAATATCAAGCCTTTTATTCATCATTTATCTCTATTAGGTTATACTAACGTTGCTTTGAAGTTTTTCTACTGACTCTGAAATAACCAGTTAAGTATTAAGTAATGTAAAGTTGGTGGTTGTCCGGTTACCGTTTCTGTGTTGATTGCACTAGACACAAAAACAGTGTTAAAAAAAATGTTTCTGATCCCATACAGAAATTAGAATTTTTCTCCGTCATCGGAGAACACCTTATTGGTTCATCATTGGATAACTATACTCTTATTAGGCATGAATTTTTATAGATATTCAAACCTTTCTCTCTTCACTTGATTTTCTTGACAAACGTTTAGCTTTATTTGAAACAGTTAGTCTCTTTTATGAATTTGGATAATGTAATTAGAAGACGTAGGTTGTCCGAAAAATGTGATGTATTAGCGCTATACATTTTGAACAATCTGATCACACATTTACTTTTTAAGGCATTATATATGAAAACTGGAAGTGGGAGAAAGACACATATGACATAAAGGAATTCAATAATGTGAAACACACATGTAAATTTATAAACGCGGTGGGATGTGACACAATCGTCTATACAGCTTTGAGGTCTAGGTTGCAGCAGGTGTTTGGTCTTCCCAACTACGATAAGCTTAGCTGCATAGTACGTTTTGCGAACAGCAGACCTTAACCTTCGTCATATCTTTTATAGAGAGCAACTTTATTGATGAGATTGCCGATCAGGCCTTCAAAGTGTGACATGTAAATATCAGCTGGCAATGGTCCTAAGGGGCTTTCCATAGCCACACCATCTATTTATCAAAAATGTTCACCTTCAAATGCGAAATGAACTTTGTCAGTACAGAATAATAACAGCTCTTTCAAACACGTTAGGGGGATAGGGAAAGATTACTGGAAGATATATGGTTACAAAGAATGTCAATGGTTTTAATTAGGCGTACATTAGTAAATAAGTTGACATCAAATGAATACAACCTCTTATCTTTGATATTAATATTACTGACATAATCAATATAATCAAAAGTATTTTTTAAAGAAAACTTATATAATTCATTTTGAATAGGAATTAAAGTTTTTGCTTACCTTTTCACCACTTTATGTGTAGGTGAACCGAACATGAAGAGTATAGGATGTGAAGGATTATCTGTTTTATGAATTTTAGGCAATCCATACAGATTAGGTATCTCAGACCCCCTTGGTTTGAGAGAAGCGAATTCTTCCTTGCTGATAACATTGATATTCAAGAGTTTTACCAGACTAGATGCATTCTAATTTTCTAAGGTCGTCTGATGGAACATCAGCCATAAATTTACTTTCATCTCTAAGGATGGACATCATCTTGTTTTTGTAATCACATTTGTCCATCACAACCATACCCGACCCTTTATCGGGTTTGAGAATGATAATATCAGATCTATTTCGAAGTCCTTTTAGGGTTTTGAAATGTTGTGAAGTTAGGATACTTCGCTGTCTTGGACCTGAACTATGAGACTGATGAGCAATATCCACCAGCTTAGCCTTAAACCAACTCTGATTATCTGAGGAGGTTGGAACAAGGGGAAATAGCTGATCATAAAGACTTTCAAATTGGGCATCGATAACCAAATCCGAAACTTTCGTGTGGGGAACCGAAAAACTGAATCCAAGGGAAAGCGCTTCCTTCTCACACGTCGAAAGTTGAATAAACGATACATTAGCTTTATTGAAAATTTATCAGACAAAAATGTGGGATTTGTTTCTGCATAAAAACAAAATCATAAGTTAATTTCACTGAAAGAAGCATTTTAAAATAGTTAATCACTTTGATGAATTTTGATAATAAAGAAAAGAATGAAATTTATCAGAGAAATTTAATGCACAATACGTCTCAAGGAATCTAATCACATATTCAAGTGTAAAGAAATTTTAAATGAAGAGTGGAAATAGAACGGGATTAAACAAAATAAACTATGGTAATAATAGATTAAAAATTACAGTGACGAAGGAGGAACAACCAACTTTGATATTCAAATGAAATAATCACAAATGATAAGTTTTTTTTGGAATTCGCAAATAAGAATTGAGCTTTCATACAACAGAGGTGTCAGTAAGTCTGTACTGATAAACAACCTAACTTCACTTCACACCTTCTTCGACTATTTTTTTTCTCTTTTTCATATCAAGTTTGGTGTGAAAAAAATACGTTACTCCTCCTTATTATCCTCCATTTTGCAAATCATTTATTAGCCTGATTTATTTGCCTTATATAACTCTACTTCCATGTTTCACGTAAAAACACCTTGAAAAATAAATGCGTGATTAGATTGTTCGAAATATATTGCTCAAATGCACTGAATTTCTCAAATTAACTCTGTCTTCTAATCATATTAGGCGCAAAAATCACAAAAAATAGTCAATGCGAAATTCCGATGTTCAACTGAGTCGAAGTGATCAACCACTTTCGACAGATGCTTTCCTACGTGGATGCATTTATATTTCTTGAATAGTTATTGTCATGACTCACTTATGTGGCCAGCAATTTAATCCAGAATGCACGTTTCATCCAATTCGGGACTCTTCAGCTTAATGTAGCCCCACCCAGTGAGTGATTCTGTCCCTATTAATTCATCCATCCATTCGGGCAATATTCAGACACCCACGTGGAAGCCAGTATGCAAACAGTGGTCGATTAATTGGATCTAGTATAACAAGGAAGAATCACATGTGTCAACAAACAATAGTAACTATCACGCGTGATATAAAATTTGATTATCATACCTCGGTGATCTAGTGGATAACGCTTAGGCGTTTAAAGTGATGAGTAAGAGACCCAAGTCTCAATGGGATAAACAAAACTCTCTGAAGCGCAGGTACGTCTAGCTGATGAGACCTAAATAGAACGAGATGCTCATCATCGATTCCACTGATAGCCACGACCAGGTGAGGGAAAATAAAAGCCTGAGTAGCAGCGTTCATAACTGCAGTAATTATTCGCATAATCAGACACAATAACAATATAGTTTTATGACGAGACTGGATAAAAAAAGCTTCGCTGTTCACGTTTAAGAAATATGGTGGAAGAGTAAACAACTTGTTTTACCTTGTGGCCTGGAGCATTGTATTCACTGAGTTTTGATTGGATGAATTTCATCAGCAATGTATCATTGTAGTTGATGTGCTGACGATCTTCAATCAGTGCTTTTTTGGTAGCTTGTCTTCTAGATGAAGTACTAAGATCGAATTACTCCCAGGACTTTGTTAACAACTTAAACTCATGAGTCCATTGATGAGATTATTCTCAGAAATGCTGCTCCTTGATCTTCATCTTTCTCAGAAATAACTATATCAACTTCAATTGAGAAACTCAAGATTAGTTACTTCTTTTGAACTATTTTCTTAAAAAATGCTTCAAACTTAGGTAGTTCTTAGCATCTTGAAATGATTGTATTTGTAGCTCAAGATAATAATTTTGATTGTGCTGTGTTCACTGAGCTGGATGGTTTAGTCAGAAAGGTTTCACTGTCATTCTAGGTGACAACATCAAAACAAAATTCACAAAGCTTTTGATGAGTGAAGATTAAAGCGGATTGACTACTTGTTTGCGCATACCCTACTTCTTCTAAAAAGTCTCAGTAGATTAAGGACACTCGCCTTAATATTGAAATGTTTAGATAGTAGCAAAATGTTTGAAAGAACATATACTTCCAAGATTAACAGCAACTTGTAAGTAGTACACGAATAGGTCTCTGCGGCACATGCTAAAAAAATATTATAACTGATAACATCTCATTTATAAACACATTGTAGAAAAAAGGTGACCTGCTTGAACTTTGGGCTACTTAGATTTTCCACTGAAAATACTTATCAGACTTATTCCCTTCAACTTGCTTTAATCAGTTTAACATGTCTCCTGAACTCATCAAATACTCTTGCATATCTTTAAAGTACTTCCAACTCACCGTTTCTCCAGTTATTAACAAAACGGAGAAAATATATCACGTTATATGGGAGTGGATATTTCAGTGCAAAAATGAACATCATATTTCCATCCCTCAGATACTCAACTTGAGTTGTAGATTTTCGAAGTTGCTGAATGAACCGTCACCACTCAACTTACACTCATGTTTCTATTGATTCTTTATTCGTGACCGGATGCTAATCGTAAACCAGCTGGCTGTTTCTCATTATTGTCATTAACACAGTAATTATTGGCCTCCCTCATATACAATAAAAGTGTAGTTAGAGAATATTGTTCTGAACAATTGTTTTTGAAAAATTACATGTTGAGAATTCCATACCGTTATATATATATATATATATATATATATATATATATGTAGTTTAGAATAAAGCGATTATTGTAATTTACTTGGCTGTGACTAGCAGAGGAATCCAGGATGCGTGTGACTACCGTGCCTCTATGGCCTACTGGCTAATGCCTCGGCATTTTAAGCAACGGGTGTGAGGTTCGAGTCTCAGTGTGAACAGCATCACCCACTGTGGTGCAGGTACATCCAACTGACAAGTCTCAAGTAGGAGGAAACGCGCATCTCAAATACCTCTGTCAGCCAAAACCAAGTCACTCAAGTGATATCAAAGCATCCCCATAAGAACCCATATGCCAACAGTGGTCGAACTATTAGATCTAGTAAAACAACGGAGAATTACAAACATATCGATAAATGGTAATAAAGCGATTATTATGATCATTAACCGATTTGTCAACCAAATAAACTGATCTTTACTGAGCGTAAGCGATAAAGCCAAGCAGTGATTTACGTCAAACTTAGTATTATTTATCTGAATTCTTACCAAATAATACTCAGAAATTATCATCATTCAATACTATGTGTTATTCATTATATTAGTTAGCATGCGAAGTTAAATGCATAAAAAGCCTGCTAAGTTGAGTTGAAGTGTAAAAAACAGTGTGATTAAATCGTTAAACAGTGATTCAAACTCCATATTTATTATCAGTAAGACATTCTTCAGAACAACTATGATGTGAAACCTTCATTCTGGTATTTAGTGTTTATCGAAGGTTAATAATAAACATAACATTGTGTTTCAAATATCGAAATTGAATTTCGGAGACTAATTCACACCCTTAATGTTACATTGTTTCTAAAACAACAATAAAAGGTCAATGTTTTTTATTTATTTTTATACAACGTGTTTAAAGATAATCGGTGATGTTGCCATATTCAATTTACCGAAAAACCAAATTCTTGCATACGGAATGCTTTGCATTGCTTGAATTGATATATTGTTGTGTAATGTTTTTCTCTTCATTTTTCAGGCGTTGGATGGACTTCATGTGTTCTGACATTTTTTGCCAGTTTATATTATAATGTCATCATAGCATGGGCTTTCTTTTATTTATTTGCAACATTTCAAAAAGAATTACCTTGGGAAAATTGTAATCATTGGTGGAATACAATACACTGTCAAGAACAGTCAAAACCAAACATATCCCTTGTGAATTCTTCAGCTGCAACTTCAGCTAGAGAATTTTTTGAGTAAGTGTGACACAGAAGAAAAGTGTTATTTCTGAAATAATATTCACCGAAGGTTATAAACGGTAATTTATTAGCATAAAGTGTTGGATAACGAAGTGAGAATATTGGTACATGACTTTATTGTTAAGTATGATAATATACTTCTATAAGCGATAAAAAAACTAACGTTTAGAATGTTTAAGAACTGAATTGTTGGACTTCTTTTAGCTTATGTTCTAATTAGGATTTTAAGAGTGTGCAATGTGATGACTAAATTAAATTGTCCAGCTTACAACGTATATGACTTACAAGTATGCCTTGATGATGGCAGTTAAAAGTCTTAAAACTTAAAGAATACACGGTAACCTGGTAACTACATTCATTCATTTATATTCAGTGTATTGTAACGTAATATTCCGTTGGGTAGTTCGCTAAAAAATACAGACCACTTGAATGATATGAGTGGAATAGAAAATTGATCAAGACGTTTGTATCTAATTACTGCTTATTAAAGACAGCTGATCTTGCAAAGTGATAACAAAATGAATTCAATTCATCCCACAATGTCTGTTGTTCTTGCTTTGCAGTAACTGAGAACCATTGACATTTCTACGACGTGATGGATATTCAACTTTTCGAACTGTTAGTCTTTCATCCGAATAGTTAGAACTGAGATCAATAAATCATGTTCAAAGTTTTTTTGTTCTTAGTTAGATCAAAATTAGATGAGTTATGATTTTAGAATCTGTAACTGAATACTTTAAGTCTTCATGTTGAAGAGGATTCGACTTGTGAAGTTGATACCAGAGTATTTAATTGATGAATAGACTTAAGCACTTAGACAGCTAACAAGAAATATATGCTCGAGGTAGTGACAGATTTTGTGAGCAAAAATATCCCCTTTTATTCATATGTAGATCGGCTGTAGTAAAGAAGTCTAGTGGGTCGAAGTTCACATAATTTTTGGTATGCAGTCAAATGTTACTGGTTTATTCATAATTTAGATAAACGTAAACACTAGGTTAAGTATTTGGTGAACTGTAAGTGGCTATTGTAACACAGTAGTTAACCAGATAGCGACATATATTGAGTTTCCGTCTCAGTGAAAAAAAAATCATTACGATACAGGTACATATAACGGAGTCATATCATATATGAGATAAACATGACAAGTCGTTACCAAACAAATATCAGAAGTTGATAAAACTAAACAGTGAAACTGCACGATAACGAGTCACTATGTCACAACAGAATAAACAGTACCCTTCTACAAATCAACCATGAAAACCCCATAGCTCTCGTTGTAATCAGGCAAATGATGTTATTGCAACCCAAAGGTCGCTCACTTGAATCTTATCACAATGGAGGTTTTCATTTCAATTCAGATTACCACTACATTATCGGTTTTTCTTTTTTATCCTTATGATACCAGTTGTATCAAGCCATTTTTATTTGTTCCTGGATTATATTAAAGTCTACATTTCGTCACTGCTATCAATTTTATTAAAATCATACTCTTTTAGCATTATTTTTATGGATAAATCTCTTTCTATTGATCCTAGGGGCTTTTGGGGATTTGGTATTCATCATAGACTGAAATCTCTAAATCCCCGCAAACTCGCGAATTTAATTGAACTAGTGCTCATTGGTGACTAGCTTTGAGAGGTGATTCTCGAAGTTCCAATGGGAAGTCATTTCCAGTGTGGCAAACCTGATGGTTATAAGGACAAACACCCAACGATGATATTGGGTAGCGGTTGAGCTAGATCGTGAACCGACAGAAGCTAAAAATGTGGACCACTGGGTTTCGACCGAGTGGCTGAATGGTAACGTGCTGTCCATGGGACCTGAAGGTTGCGAGTTCGACCCCTGGCGGGGTCGTGGGTGCTCACTGCTGAGGGGTCCCACACCAGGACGAAAGAGCTGTCCAGTCCTCCCAGGTTTACAATGTCCGTCCAGCTGATATTAGTCCATGATGAGTCTTAACTTGGGGAATCTCTTTCTGCTGATTAATTCCATCAAGTGATTTTGAATAGTACAATGAGAAAACGTTACGCAGTATTCATTGGATTTTATTGCATTCCCTCCAGGTGCTTACAAATCATTGGTAATCCCTTAATAATAATATAAGAAGGTAATTATACTTCATAATTAAAAGTCAATAACCTATCAGAAAACATCAGGGGACCTTTAAGTGTAAGACTGGAGTAAAACGATCAGTTGGTGTGTGGTCACATGTGGAGTTCATGTGACAACTCTAGAATTATTTGTAGTAAGATCATCTTGAGGACAAGGTAAAATACCATCAAAACAAAATCTGGTAACAATCAACTCGTTTTAGTATGAAGAAAGAAATCGAAGATAAAGGGACACAAAATTCTCAAGTTAGTTATTGGTTACCTACTCAGTTTTCCTGAATACGGCTATGAAGTTATAACTTGTTAATTTAGATAGGTTCTTCGAACTAAAAGTAAAGTAAAAATGTATGTGCGTGATCTTAAAGATATTTTTGATGTCAACTTCACTGCTCATATCATGTAAATGGTGAGAAATCAAGCTTTTCTTTCTTTATTTGAGCTTTTAGGATGTTAATTTCCCGTTATATGCTGTAGAAACCGATCGGCTGCTTGTCTATTTGTCCTCCTAACGTGTATAGTGTTTTTTACCTACGTATGAAGTGGCAAATGTAGTTTGCGAAAAAGCCAACCGAAGAGTTGTTAATTTCTGTTTTCATTATTATTATAAATTGTTAAATTTTGCTCGATTATAGATAATTGTTGATTTACGTTATGGTCATAGTTACTTCAGTGTTAATTCTTTGGGGTTGATGGTTTCTCCTCCCATAGAGTTGTCATTACCAACTCCACACATAACGTTTACTTTCATTGACTGTGTTACTGGATTCTTACACTTCTAAAAGACTGTCAACTTTTAAATTATTCATTCGATCAGTTGTTTATAAGTTTGCTTGTAAGCAGATGAAGGGTATGAAATGAAATGCAATATAACTCGTTGGGATTAGACAAAATAAAGAGATAGCAAACATGTAAAGTCGTAGGTAGTTTATCATTATGATGTAATTTGTACCTTTACCCTGTGCCGTTCAACTAAGTCATGAACGCTGGCACCAAATCTATTTCCAAATACAATGATTTGTTTAACTGCGGCGTCTTTGATTAGTATTAACTTCATTTGTGAAGTGAATTGAATCAACTTTAGATTTTATTCTGAAAATTTTGAAATTAGGGAGTAGGCGAAATTTATTAACTTTCTCCATAACTTTTTTCGTCCTAACTTTTCATACATTTATCTGGGTAACCAGGTGTCAAGTCTGATTCTTGTTTGTAAGCCATCTTGTAAGTTAAACAAGTATTGTTAAATACTCTTTGCTTTATTAAAGGCCACTGAATCAACGTAACTTATAGAAATGAGGAGTAAACCTACAAGTTAAATACATAGTATATGGATAGTCACCTTTTACGAATTTTTAACAGACCTGATGATTACTAAGGTTGCGAAACCAACCTTTTGTGAAGTGAATAGAGATGGCTTGTTCAGTTCTTTCACTAACATCACTCGCTGATGAAGCTGTTATGCTCTTATATCCAGTTCACAAACTAAAAGAAATTGAAGTTAAACGCCCCAATTTAAGGTTTCTTTAACCTAGTGCAAGTACCAAGATGTAGTTGAGCTTTCATATTTATCTCTACCGCTGAATAAAAATCTCTGGACCTCACCGACGTCCGACTATTTTTACCAGGTAAAGTTGCAGTCATCCCCATACATTTAAAAGAGAAAAAAAACTGCTGTAATAATCTTAAAGTGTCCTTTTTCACATTGTCAATAAAGATACAAGGCTCTCAGAGACAACACAATAAAATTGTTGTTGACAGAAATTGTACAGAACTCAGAAGCAGATAAGTTTCAATAATTCCGAAAATATTTATGATTTTGGATACCTCGAGTACCTTTACGGTTGAAAAAAGCGACAACTTGTGAAGCCATGGTAAGTTTAATTATATATAGGTAAGTTTGTACTTTGGAAGTTTAACTGTTTACTAGTCATTAGCTACAATCAAGTAGGTTCCTGCATCAGACTAAAGATTTTATTTTCATGTATCGAATTAAACAAAATCTTAAATATTCTGTGAAAATAAACTCTGACAGCTAACATAATATATAAATGAAAAGATATCCCTGTCAAGCATTTTCATATTTCTCTTCAGGAACAGAATGCTTGGCGTTGATAAAAGTACTGGATTTGGTGATTACGGAGCAGTTCAGTGGGAAGTTTGCGGTTGTCTATTTCTCACAAATTTACTCCTGTTTTTGTCTTTATTCAAAGGAGTGAAAGTCCTTGAAAAGGTTAGTATGTATTATTTTTTAAATAACAGAATCCCTGGAATCCTTTTAAGTGTGACCGACTCCATTTTTAAACTGAGCAGTAGCTTTCTTTTTAAAACCCTCTTAAACAGCTTGAACTATGAATATAGTCATGAGTATCATAAGCATATCGCTAATGTTTTAATTGTCTTTCACCAGTTTTCTTCAGAATAATAACTTCAAAGCCTATTTGAGAGTCTCAGTATGTCACGTTGTACTCCATAAGGCATCTGTTTGCGAACATCAGTGACCGGTAAAGTTAGTTGGCAGTCTTGCATAACTATGCCAAACAAGCAACCGGAAGCTAATTTCGCTTCCCTGTATATCATGGTGGGCTTTTAAATCAATGCACCCAAAAAAAGAAATTTAAGGAATTGTAGTCAGTTTGTGAAGCTACTTGAAGTGGCGGGATGATGCTGCTTTGAACTCAGGAAATCTGTACTGGTGCACTTCCGCTCTTAGTTTTTCTCCGTTTCAGCCGGTATATCGAAATGTTTCTTATGTATTTAGTTTAAGAGACGATGGAGTAAAGCTTTCGACCAATCCACTGGTAACATTTATGCTGATAATATGTAAATAGAAACACTTTCCTTGTTTTAAATACACTTTAGGTACCTTCACTCGATGTAGTTGTTAACACTTAAGTGCCTTCGAAGCTATGTACTCCATAAGGGTAATTGTCTACTTTTAAGCAAACGCGGAGAGCATTATTCGTGATGGAATTTCAGCCTATTAACATATAATCCAATAACAAGAAGAATTATTTTGAAAAAAAGTGATACCAGCTTCGACTCCTTTTTCCAAGTAATGTATCTGAAACTTAGTAAAAAAATATTTGACAAACGGATTAAAGTGAAACATAAAAAGGAGTAAATGACCTATCTGTTAATTGTCTGGAAACTGCAGAAATCGAAGGGTAATACTGGCGTGAAACGACTTGACTTTCTGATTAAGTCTGGAATAAAAATACCTCGACTTAATGTACAACCAGAAAATTATGAATATATATATACATATATATATATATATATATATATATATATATATATATATATATATATGGAGACTTTTTAAGGATCTTACTAGTGGAAGGCAGCTCAGTAATGAAATCTGTTAAAAAACCTGTGATCTAAAGCGGTCATTAATACTTGAGCCCACCAACATCTTTTTACCCAGTTCTTTGAATATAGTAGAAAGCCTCTTTCCTAAATGCAAGAAACAGATAAACTCAACTGCTTTAAGTCATAAAAACCTTCACAAAGCTTTGGATCATATGAAATAATAGGTATTCTATTTAGTAAGTATGATAATCTGTGTCATCTACACACAAACATTTTTAATGAGTTCTTTCCCGAAAAATGATATGTCAACGGCCTGCAAGGAAATTAAAGTAGTTCTGGTAGCCAAGTCTATATCATCTGTAGAGTGTGAAATTCCAACCAGTCGCAAAATCACCATTCCTAAAATCAATGGAAAAGCTGTTGATTCATGGGCTTGAACCTCTTTTGGAGGCTCTGAGATTCAAATTGATTTGCCTTTAAACCCAGAAGAAGTACTTTAGGTGTTGCAGTTGTTTTACATCGCAGTATCACTGCTAGTTTGGACAAAGGTACTAAGCATGTTAGATCTGTCTTCTTAGATTATACTTCTGCTGTTGATTCTTTCTCTGGATCCATCTTATTAAGCAAGCTTGCCAGAACTCACCTTGAGTCTTGGATTGGGAACAGGCTTGACTCTTATTTTGACGAGAGAAGACAGTACACTCCGCGTAGAGGAAATGGCTCTATTTCTCTCCATAGTGAAGCCAGAGTCCTTCAAGGTTCTGTTCTCTCTTCTTTTCTTTTCTCTTTCTTTTTGCATGATTAAAACTAATTCTGTAAGGTATGCGGATAACTTAATAGTATCCACACCGGTCATTCCCTCTTCAGGGTTGTTCTCAGTTTACCAACTTCTTGACCGAAATTGGTCACTGGGTTTCCTTGGACAACCACATACCAAACCCCATCCTAATTTCAGTTTTAGGCGTGAACAAAGCTTATGTAAACTGCTTCATTTGGATGAATCTTGTCATATTGATGTCTCTGTTGTAGAGAATGTATCAAATATGCTCCATCTTTTCTACTAAACCTTCTTGGTCCCCTTCTATCTTACTGATTTTGAGGAAAATCCTTCGCTTGAAATTTTGCTTGAGGAAACTCAGACTGTCTGGAATAATTCAGTCTCTACCATTATGTTTCCTTGGTTTTTGTATTTTGCCTGTGTTTATTTATTATCTGATCTCATTCTTTCTTGGACTCTAAAAAAACCTGCTGTATTGTACAGGATGTTGAAGGCTGTTTATAGAGCGAAGAGCTTACAACTAATACTACTGACAAATACATTCGTTGGAAGGTATCTGAACACTTGCTGACAGCTGATCACAAATGTTTTATCTGATGACAAGCGTGCTTTTCATCTGCATCTCTCTCCATGTATGTTCTCAGGGAATACAAGAAGAAGATACATTAAGCTTTATGCAGGTACAACAACATACAAAAACTTAACCGTATCTCATTTAGCTTGAGTACTGTATGATGAAAAGCATATGAGAAACAGTCTTATCAATCGTGTTTGTGATACCCAGCAGTTATTGTAACTCAGAAGTCACCAAATATTTCAATAGTCCTGTTATTCTTCATTTTATTTTGTTAACCAGTACCACTCTTAGGATGTATCTGAAAAATGTTGTAGAAGTAAACTGATGCAATATCAGATGCTGACAATCCTACACTGTAAAGAAAATTATGTTCCGGAAAAAAAGCGAGTATACTACCATTAGGATTTTAAGCTCTCAGTTCGTTATTTTTTTTATTTAGATGGTTTCTGATCTCTGTGCTACTGACACAAACTAAGAGCTAACTTTTCGCCAAATGAAGTGTTATGATAACCAATTGGGTTATCAAGCTTATTCTCCACACCACTTATAGATTAGTGATGCAAGTCTAGTCACAACAAGGTTTTTTTAATTGAATATTCGCTTTTCACATCAAGATCCAACCGTTGGAAAATTTAACAAACCATTTGTTCTCAAAATTCAATGACTTGAAGATGTTACTGTTGAAAAAATCGAGTTCAATAACCAGTGTTACGTGAAACTAAACAATACCCCTGGAATTTCTATTAACTGCAGAAATCTTTGCCGGAAAACAACTAGTCTAAAAATTCCTTTATATTAAAATGCGATGAAAACAATAACTATTAAAAAAATTTTTTTCAGTGAAATATAGTCTTTCGACTTCAGAGTAAATCTTGAGTCTGCTTTTTCCTGAACATATGTCCGTACTTATGACTACGGATGCATACTTTAAATCACCTCAAACAAATCAAATAAAATGGTAGTTTATAAAACGAATCATAAAAGGTTAATTCAGGAAATCTCAAATCGTTTGTAACAGTGAACAGGTGTCATAAAAGTAACACTTCTATAATCATTTGAGGAGGTTGAAATGAGTGAAACTACACAAAATGTCTCGGTTTCAAATATTGAAGACAAGCGTATCGATAACATTATTCTACGTTGTCATTTTCTGTTAGCATTGACCGTTTGATTTGTTCAATGTAGATTGGAAACATTCACATGGTTCTCCCCCACAATTTCGGCTTGACAAAAATGTTTGAGTAAAAGACAAAAATAAAGCGTCACATTAAATATTGAGTACTTTACAAACTGACTCTTAGAGCTTGGCATCTAAACACCACATAGCTTACATGCTAAATACCAAACTGCGAATTATATTTAACGCTTTAGCGATTTCAGCGATAGGTTCTGGGAAAAGTGTCGCTCACTGATGTGCAGGTATATCCAACTGAGAAATCCAGAATAGAAGGAATTACGAGTCCTGAATTCCACTGCTAGGCACCAGCAAACAAAATAAGAATTATATCTAAATATCAACTGCTTGTTGCTATGTTCAACAGTTTAACCGACTACATTCACAGTATATTCACATTGAGATGATAAAATGTTACTAAGATTATATTCAAACTTGGGATGTTCACTCACAGTATATTTTTGTGAATCTAGTATATACTGATATCTTTGAAACCACAGTCAGTGGTATCTCTTGAATACCACATAGGTAGTGTCGCCTGCATTTTCAACAGTGAAATAAAGAAACTTCGAAAAATATTTCTGTGAATGCAGTAAAATGCCTTATTACAAGCAAAATATTTTTGTAAAATAATCCCTATCAGACAAGTACTGAACATAACTATTCTTCGGTCAGAAGTCAGAAACTAAGTTGGAACTTGGCAATATCAGTTGTTGAAGAGTGTACAGTTTGGAATACATGTCTTTCGATCAAAAACTGAAGACTTATATATACATAATCACTTCTGTGGAACTCTGGCCTAGATGAGTGCTAAGTTTTCATGATCTGCCGCAGTTCATTGCCTAGTAGTGTAAATGCGAGAATTCTTGTTGATATCAAATATCATTCAGTGACAAGCACTAAAGACAGAATAGCTACATGGGTTACCTCCTGCTAACTAATGTCAAATAACTGTTTGTGGTTGATAATGAGAGTAGAGTCTGAGGCAATAAAATTTTACGGAAATGCTGCATAATATTTTTAACCTCCTTCAATCTTTCTTTGTTGTGGTTTTAATAAGGTTGAAATTTAGAGATATATTCTTCACCTTAACTGATATTTATAGTTACTTGTGAGTTGTAATGTGATATCAATAAGATCAAGTGACTTTTGTCTTGTTAAAACGAATAGTGCATTGTCTTATCAGACTGCAATGTATTCGATACTTTCATTACAAGATTTTCAGCTACAGAAAGATATCATGTGCTGATTTCATTCATAGTAATCTTAAGTTGTACAGAATATGTACATGTGTATATTATTCCTCAGATTCATTCCGTGAAAAGGCTTCTGATAAGTTCTATTTCATGAAACACTTACTTCTGGATATTTTGAAGAAATTTTCTTAACTAAAAAGTGCTTAGGGCCATAAGTTATTGATTGCTTCATGTTACAAACTGTTTGGTTCAGTTGTTGGACGATAACAAGAGTTGTGACTCCCAAAAACTGAGTACCCATCCTCACTGTTTCAGTGTCTTCTATACATTCCTTTGTTACATAAATGCTATGTTAATCTGTGTACAAAATCTAATACTTTGTATTCTATTGATAAACGGGATGTTTCTATCTTTAGAATGATGAAAAAGGTTTGAATCTGATTACAATTTTTGAGATCTATGCACAATTCATTCCCTTAAAGCTTTGTTATTTTCAAGCAGGGTACAGGCAAACACATGGATACTTTATCGAGGGACGTAGCAGAAATCCTGCAATATAATGAATTCATCTCAAAGAGTTTTATCAAAACTGCAATTATATCCACCGTAAAAAATACTTATGTCTTCGATTTTCTTTTCACCTCAGTTACCTGAGGAGGTTAAGCTTAAGTTGAAAATATGAACCGACTTTGCTTACAAAATTTTCAAAGTCTTATGTTATATCAGCATATCAAAGAATTATACTGTAGCTGCTGACTTTTCTAACTTATCTCGGTTGTTATCAACTGTGACATACTTATTGTTCAATTTAAGTTACCATTGAAAAGAACTGCTCACAGATCTTCTGTTGACATTTTCTATCCATCATGTTTCTTGATTTGTCATAGATTCTCTTTATGGATCTGTCTACTGCATTCTAGCCACATAAACTTCATGTATCGGCACAGTTTCGAGAAGTATGAAGCGCTGACATGATCACATCCGGTTGTGATCTTTTTTTCATCAGTGGTTCGTCTTATATCAAATTCAGTCAACATCATTCTTAGACATTGTAGATAGGTTTAGGTATTGGACTCTCAAGAGTAGTGTGCTGTGTATAAAATCAAGTTACTGCCCACACTAGAGAGTTTAGTTTGCAGCACGGTCTAAGTGCTGCTTGTTACATTTTCCTCAACAAGGTAGTTCTAAAGTTACTAACAAACTGGAAGTGAATACATAAATAAAGAGTTAGTCTCCGGAGTGATGAGTAACCGGATTTGAAAGCGTTCAAACTTTAAATCATCGATGTGAGAAGTATCCTCTGATCTTACGCCTTGGCTTCCAGACAGTGGCATAAATTCTAACAGGGACAAAATAGTTCTACCAAAAGTAAAACTATGATATTTTCTGGTAGGAAACTCGGGCTAGCACACATGTTCCATTGCACAAGTAAGTCCTCATTATAATTTTAGCTTCTAAATGTCATGTGTACGTCCCCACCTAAAAGCTACTTACTATACAGTCACTCACATGTTCCAACACTACTTAATAATAATTGCAAGGTACTCAAGTATTTCTACAAAATTTGTGCTCTCGACTTCACACTGCCAATAACTCCCGTTTCAACATCATGCCTAATGAGACTCTATCCAAACCTCGGAATCAATTCAAATCGTTGGATGAAGAACTAACTCTTATTATTTTCAGATTGCATGGAATGTTTCTGTGAAGAAGAGAAGAAAAGATAAGTTAACATTGCGATTTTGAAATACGAGACGGGGAAGTTTTGGTAAGTATAAATTTGAAAATCAAATTTTCCGTAAACAGATAAATAATTGCCACCTCGAATTCCGCACTTTGAGACTTAGTTCTTGCATTCCCCGCCATTATGTCATACAGTATTTCTCATACCGGCTTATAAAATTTAACTGATCCTGATTTGTTTCGACACACACACCCTGCATTCCTCAGAAATACTTGATGAGTGCTTATTTCAAGTTAACAGGATGACGAGTTATAGACCGATCATTCCACTCTGGACTAAAATGTCCGTTATAATAAAAAACTACTTACGTACACCTATTCATAAAGTGTGACGAGAAAGCAATTATTCACTTTACTACTTGAGGTATTTGAATTTTATGGGGAAGAATAACAACGAGATCTCTCTTTGTTGTTTTTTTCATTGTTTTTAAAAGGTTTCTTGGATAACAGCAGCTGTACCATATCTTGCAATCGCTGTGCTACTTGTTAGGGGATTAACATTGAGCAACGCAGCATTTGGCATTCGAACATTTCTTACTCCTCAATTCAGCAAACTTTTAGATTGGGATGTAAGTTTATGTTTGTTTCAGTAAATTTATCTCATCCAAATTTTAGATTAAAAGAATTGTTAATTTTGGATTGAAAGTATTTTTCACTGAATCCGTGTGTTAAAATACTCCTCTTGTACATTATACACGGGTTATATGTGTTGTCTTACAAAAAGAATTTCGGGGGAAAACGTCATCACTCTCTTACATGGGAACAGATAGCCACATTAACTGGACTATAAAATTTTCTCATTTAAGTAATACACAGATTGGGTTTTATGCCTTAGACAACAATTAAAGTCTGCAAAACCACTACCTAAATGTTCGTGTAACATTGGAATGCACTTAAATTATTCTTGCCGGGTTAACTAGTTCACTAGTTGCTAGCAGGTACTAAGCCCCCACAAACAGGGAAGGTTGGACACACGGCTAGCAACCCTAACCCGTAAAACAAATATAACCGTTAAACAAAGCACAAACAAAATATAAATAATAAAAACAAAATTATTCCTCGCTGCAATCGGAGAGGCGAAATGATGCCAGTTGGTGAAAGCCTTCAGGAAGCCTAATGGCAGATATCTCTTCTCTCCTCTCGATGAAAGCGAAAGTGTGGATGGAGACATGGAATGTCCACACTATGTTTGAATCTACCAAGGCTGCCCAGATGGCAAGAGAGATGAGAAGGTATCACATTGAAGTGCTTAGAATTTGCGAAAGCAGATGGAATAGGAGTGGACTCTCCAATATTGTCACTCAGACGACAACCACCAGCACACTGAGTTTTCGAGTGGCTATCATGATGTCCGCAAGCGCATCGAAGGCTCTCTCTCTCTCTAATATGGTGGGAAACAATCTCCTCCAAGATCAGGGTCATGACAGCAAGGTTCAACTGAGAAGGAAGGAAGGAAGGTCACAATCATTCAATGCTACACCGCGCACCTACAAATAATGCAGAGCAAGAGAAGAAGGAGGGATTCCATAGACAACTGCAATCAACACTGGAGAAGACCCCGAACCAGTTGGCGATTTCAAAATTCTACTGGGTGGGGTGACATGAATGCCAAACTGGGAGGGGGTAACACTGGAAGAGGAATAACCATGTGCCGAGAAGCGCTCGGTGAGGTGATGAGCGAGAATGGAGAATTGTTTGTAGACATCTACGCATTCAATGATTTGTTGATTGGAGGCAGTGTGTTTAAGCACAAGGATATACACAAAGGGAAATGGATTTCAGCGAATTGACACACCATACAAAAAGCCAGATCCAATTTATCTCAATGTGAAGAAAGTAGAGATGCAGCCTACTTGATACAAGGTCAAGAGGAGGAGCAGATGTAGGTTCACTCAACTGACTATCCAATGCAAGGAACCTTCCAAATCAAGTTAAAACCTTCAAGAAAGCTGGTGATAGACCACAGTTCGAGTACAATAGCCAGAACAGAAAGTGAAGGACGAAACTAGGAAGGAAATCTTCACGGCAGTCAGCCATCAAGACAAAATGGGAGATATCGAGCAGCATCCCTGAAGAAACCTGTATGGAAGAAGACTGGAGGTCTTTGAAAGAGGTGCGGAAAGAAACCTGCACAACCGTATAAGGGAGGAAGTAGAAACAGACAAGACAAGACAAGACAAGAGAAGACAATGAATAGATATCGATGAATACATGGAAGCTGATAGAGCGAGCATGGAGAGGAAGATGGTGATGATGGTGATGTTGATGGTGATGGTGATGGTGAAGCAGAAGATGAACCAGTGCAGTGCAAGGATGCACAACGACAAGGGGAACTGAGTGCAATGTATAAAACACTACACTGGACAAAGAAGTGAAGAAGAGTGCACGCAAAGAGAAAGGACACTTCAACGACACACTGGCAAGTGAAGCAGAACGCAGTGCAGGCTGCAGGTAGGAGAGACAGAGACCTGACAACATTGTATCAAATAACCAGGTTACTATCTGAGAGGGAAGAGATCAACACAGATGAAATCAATGGAAGATGATGGAGGAAATATAATTACCACAGGAGAGAAACAAGGGAAACGATCGACTGACCACTTCAAGAAGCTCTTCAATCCACCACCACCATCACCATCACCACCACCTGCACTTCATCCAGAAATACCACCTGCAGTCCAGACACAGAACTACAAGTGAACATGAATCCTCCGACAAAAGTGGAAGTCCTGAATGCAACGCCAACAAGCTACTGAAATGCGGTAAAGCAGGTGGACCAGATGGAATCCCACCAGATTCACTGAGAAGAGACGCAGAGACAACAGCGGACATGCTCACACCACACCACTATTGCAGAAGGTGTGGAAGGAAGGGAAGGTACCTGCTGGTGGATTGGAAGTAGGGCTACCTTGTCAAACTGCCGAAGAAGGGAGACCTCAATGTTTGCATGAACTGGCGAGGAATCACTCTCCTGTCCACCTCAAGCATAATATTAAACCTCATCATCCTGGAGAGACTAGAGGATATATCGGATTCAAAACTACGACCAGAACAGGCTAGCTGGCTGGCTGACTTCATCAAGTACAAATCATTTGCGGACCAAAGTGCAACGCTGCGCTTCACATCATCATATAAAAGAGTATAGAATGGCAGTCAACTCTCCACCTCACCTCAACTTCATCGACTTTGAGAAGGCCCTTGACAACGTCGACCGACAAGTAATTTGGCAACTACCTCAACACTACGGAATACCACAAACCTTTATCAATCTCATTCAACAACTATATGAAGACGCCACATGCCAAGTAATTCTCAGTGGGAAGCCCATGTGATACTTTTGAAGCAGAGACGGGAAGGAGTGAAACAAAGGCTGCCATCCTCTATCAACCATGATATTCTTGATTGTGGTCGACTGGATCATGCAACAAACAGTGGGGAGCCGTGAGAAGATGGGGATACGCTGGACCACGGAAAATAACCTAGAAGACTTGGATTTCACTAACGACGACTTGTGTCTGATGTCACACAAACTTGAAGATGTACAGGCAATAACCAACAAGTTGTCAGAAGAGGCAGGGCAGTGAAGGAAGACGGGACTTCAAGTGAATATAGAGAAGATAGAGGTGATGAAGATACCCAATCGACAACAACACCACCATCACCACCAACAACAACGACAAACTCCAATCACCATCAACAGGAGAAACTTAAGGGAAGTAGTCTCTCCCACTTATCTAGGAAGCACAGTGTCAACTACAGGTGGCGGCACAGACAACGATGTCAAAGCCAGTCAGGATCGGAAAGACAGCAAGACGGGCGTTGATTAACCTGAGACCAGTGTGGAGATCTTCTGCACTCAGCCTGCAATTAGCGTGAACAACATTCGGATTTTCAACACCAACGTGAGTCAAGTCGATGCTTCTGTGTGATGGTTGAGAGACTTGGTGCGTTACGAAAGGGATTTCTAACAAACTACATACATTCATCACCAACTGCCTGTGCTGGCTCATTACTGAAGCTCAGATGGCCAGGATAATAAGAATAAGCTACAAATAACTGTGGCTGGCTGGCTGGCTGGCTGGCTGGCTGGCTGGCTGGCTGGCTGGCTGGCTGGCTGGCTGGCTGGCTGGCTGGCTGGCTGGCTGGCTGGCTGGCTGGCTGGCTGGCAGTGAATCAACCATGAAGCTACCGGTGAACAAATATGCAGAAGAAAGTGTAAGTGGAGATGGATTGGGATAGGCATACACTGAGAAGGCTGACTGGGGACATTCCGCTTCAGGCCAGGCCAGGTCCTCGATTGGAAGCCAGATGGGATGCGACGAGTTGGGTGTTTGAGGTGAGGGTGACATGGAGGAGAAGTTGCGAGGAGGAAATGAGAGGTTGTGGGCTGTCGTGGAGTCAGGGTGCGAAGATTTCAGAGAAGAGAGTGGAGTGGAGACGTGCTACTGAAGCGGTAAGTTCCACTAGGAACCCACGGAAGAAATAATTATAGCAGTAATATCTTCTTTATAGAGTTATTTGTAGGCGTGTTCCCAAGCCTGGTAATGAAAAGGCTACAATAAAACGCTGAAGCTGAGAAAACACTGAATCACCAACACGCTCTGCCCATTATCCTGGGATATGCTACGATAAATATGTTCAATGAGAGATGAAATTTTAAAAAATCACGTTGTCCTGATAAACAACACTAGCGTGGACCGTGCATTTACACTTCTTTGGAAGTAAATTGGGAATTGTTGGAACGAACGGGAAACCGTGGGGTTACTTATAATTTGGAGAATAGACTGAAGACGAAAACTGATGAACGGTATTATACAAAAGACCTCACTGTGACCAGGCATTCATTAAGCAATCAGAAAATGAGAGGCTGAGTTAAGCAATAAAAGTAAAGCTAGTTGTTAGGATAAAGCTAATTAATGAATCACTTTTTTCTAGAAGGTAAAGTAAGACAACAATTTAAAAAAAAATTTATCATCAAGTCTCTATTGTGTTCAGCATCAAATAAATGCTGAAAAAGTTTCATTGGACAAAGACTAACATATCTTGAGTCTCAAATACTGATGCAAACCTTGAGCAGGTCGGATGAATACCCAAGGCCCCAAACTTCCAACGTATTCACTTTGAAAAATATGTGTGAAGCGGTAGACGCAGTTAGGGGTAAATTCAGATGGGGATATGCTGCTCTTTGATTGCTACACGGCTTTTTTATGGCAAGAAGGTAGAACACTTTTGACGGCTTCTTGTCCGATAGACAATCAGTCATTTGTTGTGTCCTCAAAGATAAAAAAGATTAAAAAAACTCATCTCTTTCCAGTCACGGTAAAATCGCTCTTTATTTTACAAGTACTAACATAACTTCAAATATACCTTTCAGGATACGCATCAGTGAGAGGGTATGTTACAATATAAACTATGAGAAATAAATACATAAGCGAACAATACTGTTGTCAATTAATTCTTAGTATTAGGCTGACAAACAAAGATTTTCTCATATACCAAACATTAAACCAATCATGGTGAAGTCTTGTGGAGAAAGTTTGTTGCGCTTACAACTAGGCAGCTTAACAAA